CACCCCTAAAATGTACGTCGAGCACCCCCGTTCCCCGGGAGATCTCCGCCGTGTCTCCGTCGTGTCCGGTCGTCGTTCCAGTATAAAACGCAGGCTGGTTTCCCGGACAGTGGCTAGTAATTGAGTTCTATCTTACCAGGACCGACACCAGGTCCCCTTATTGTACATAAATGCTCATTCACTAAGGAGCCGTCTTCGCTACGCCAAAAGAACTTGAAAAAACGTAGCGTTATTTTTATAGTTAGGCCTACCGTCCACACTACTCCGTCACGAAAACGGAGCTTTTCGAGAGCGCTCTTCAAACCGGAGGAATTCGAAAAAGCCGGGTTTTTCGTTTTAGTGTGAACGGAAAACATTTCGAAAACGGTGCTTTTCGAAAACGATGTAGTCACAATTGCCATTTGATTTCCCTGTCCTAGTTTTTCTCAAACACAAATTCAAAACAACCGGTGATTGTTGCGTTTTTAAATTCCTCCGGCGTAGTGTGGAAGAACACATTTGATGCGTTTTCAGAGTGAAACCTCCGTTTTCAAAAGTTATTCGGATTAATGTGGACCGGACGGGGACTAAGTTCCGGACAAACGCTAAAACACTACACGCAATATTACGCTCCAGTATCTTCACTGTGGAGCATTCGGCGCGCTGTAAGCAATTTATGATAGTGGAAATTACCCACAAAATGGCTAACCTTATGTTTAGTACTTTTACTATGAGAGACGTCCTTTGTGTTCGATTTGAAAATTACACAGCAAGAAGGCAGGAAATTTGTCGCACCATCTGAGCACAATTCGGCAGAAAGTGGGTAGCAATATTACACGATATTATTGCACGAGTAGAAGGGATTTCTGCAACAATGTAAGTAGTGTTACGTCCATAAATTTCAGCCACGAAGAGGCGCACGAGAAACACAGTTACACCATAACTTGAGAGAGTGGCGGAAATCGAGACCTACATGTGCCCAGTCTTTGAAATATCGGGAAGCAGCTTCGCAACGAACTCTCCCATTTTCACGCAAACTCTGGAGAGTGTTTCGATTTGTCTATAACTTTCTTTTTCCAAGTTTCATGCTCGTTAAGTTCCTTAATTTTGAAATGCAATCCCTTTTGCAAGCTTCCCTTGTGTCCTCACGTAACACCTACGGGCAACAACCATCAGTCACGCAACACTCTTAGCCAATAGTCACGAAAAAGGGGCCCTTTCACACCGTAGAGCGTTACACTTATCCAGATAGCCTTCATGTACGCTGTTCATTTGTGTCTTCCTCCTCGTCTTTGTTGTTTCATTTGATTTTGACATTGAGGACAGAACCATTTTCCTTTGGGAGCGTCTGTTAATCCAACGCATCCGTAATGAAACCACTCGATAGCACACTGAAAAGCGAAAGAAACAGTCACATAAATGTCAATATGATTCGGGTGAAGTCTGCATACAGAGCTTATCCCGGTTTCTGTAGCATGAGAGAGTGGCGGAAATCTGAAACGACTTGGAGTATTTCTACTTCCCCCTGGATGGGATGCTAGTCCATCGCAGGGTTACCCCCAGCATTAAGGTCGCTGGTACCCATCTATACACCTGGGTGGAGAGAGGCAGAGTGGAAGTAAAGTGTCTTGCCCAAGAACACAACACTATGTCCCCGGCCAGGGCTCGAACCCGGACCGCTCGATCTGGAGGTGAGCGCACTAACCATGAGGCCAACACGCCTCCACCAACTCAATTTCCCCTTGATTGGAAGTGGATACATGAAACATCACGTATTTGAACTGCGGAGAAAGATTTGAAGACAAGAATGAAGATCGCAGTTTTATCCACACAACTTAAGCAGCTGTGAAATTAAAGCCTAAAAATAATTCAGGCTTTCACTAAGCTTTTTTATTTTTTTGTCAGGCTTGATTTATCTCTACTTGTTTTGCACATTATTGTAAATCTACTGAATAAGGCGTTCCATCTAAAGAAGAGCCTTCAGTGCAGGCGTTATTTTGGAATGTCACCCTCGACAGACTTGGTTTTCGATGCCGCCATCTTAGATTGTAATTGGTTGGGGCAAAGTGCAGGGGGTAATGGGTGGGTGGGTGGGGCAGTTGTTTATTTCCTTCCCCTCCACCTCCCCTCTCGCTCATTTTTCCACCTCTCCTCGGGAAATTGTCCCTCGCCCCAACATTCCACAGTTACCAAATTCAAGACGGCGGCCTAATACAAAAATGTGCACTCACGCGCCAATGACAGTTACTTACGTCAGGATTATCACATCCGACCATTTCGCCATAGGAGACCTAAAGGTAAAGAAATATTGACGCAAATAAATAATGGGCTGGTGTTTATAATGAAGATGACAAGTAAAGTGACGTACGAAGTTGAACGTGTGTCTAGTAAAATCAACTTGTTGTCACACCTTGTAACACGGGTGGTAATAAGAGTGAAAGCGCTTTTCAACTGGAACAAAGTTGGCCAACAAGTTGCAAGAAAATATTACCCATATTACAAAATGCCGTTCACCCTTATAGAATGTTTAAACAACAACTTCCAGGCTTATAAGAATTATTTACTATTTTTTCTTTCTTTCCTGTTTTAATAGCATACACTGTCAACCCTCAAATTAGACAGTTCGTTGTTGTTGTTGCTGCTGCTGGTGGTGGTGGAAAAATCAAATAAATAAAATAATAATAATAAAAAAATATTAACGTGCCAAAATTCTAGCTCAAAAAAGCAGTAAGCTACATGTAAATGGGGACACCTAAACTAATCAGTACTGTAAAAATTATAACATTCTAATCGCAAAAAGCTAAATTTTAAGTGTACGGGACATAGTTATATGTATGTAGACTCTCCAGTCTAGACACATACCTTTCTAGTTACACTACAACTTTTGAGCTTCAATTGTAGTTCGAAAACTACATTTGTTCAACAAAACAGTGTTCTCTAACTGGAATTACAGACTGCGTATCAAGCTTCGCTCAGAAACACTTTACTAAGATTACAAGTCTTTCCCTACTTGCTTTGTTTCTAGGCCTCGCAAAGGTCAATCTGTTTCGAACTTAATTGACCGTGAAGGCCTGGAAGAAGACGAGGCAATTCCCTTACCTGATTGCAAAGACAATACCGAGGTTCATTAGGATCGTAAACCCAGTCAGACACAGCAGCTACTGCAACCGCTGCCTCCTGTTCAGCAACCTGGGCCGAGGCTACCGCAGTAACCTGGGTCGAGCTTTTACTCCTGTACAGGACAAGAACAAGACAGTTCGGTGAAAGCCACAAATGAATGCTAGGGCTAATATCTCTCTTGTGTACGTAAATGAAAAAAAAAAAAAAAAAAAAATGGCAAATTTTATTGGGATAAATGGTTTTCCATTCACGTTTTTGCACTTTAGACTGGAAGCTTTGAACCAGAGAACTTACAGTATTTGCAATCCTGGTAGCCTACGAATAGACTTCCGGCGAGGACGGAAAAAAAAAATTAGGCGAGCAAAGCGAGCGGACGAGCGCGAAACTGAAGAATTCGGAGAGCGAAGAGATCGGGAAGGTCTCTTCGTTCGGGTTCGCCGGGAACCTCTTCGCAGGCCATAATCCAAGAAAGGAAATTTGTCAAACCAGCAACTTGCTCCTGCTGTAGACGGATCAACAAAGAAAGTTTGTCAAAGGGAGGTAGAAAAGTAGTTCCCAGACCCTTCATTTGCGTGTGCTTTTGTGCTACAGTAGCAAATGTGTTTATAAAACAGTCATTTCATTCGTTTCTGTCGTTTATGATAGTCATTAGAAACACCCTAAATACATGTACCTACATGTAGGAAGAGAATTTAACCATGGGACATTACCACGATCATAATTTTTTCATGGACATTGTCTCAGTCACAATTTTTATCATGGACATTACCTCGGTCATAATTTTTTTCTGGATACGGCCCTGGAAACTGTATTAGCATAACGTCCCACAAGGTGAAATAATTTAACAATTTCCAATTTTGGAATCTCACATGTAAGTACTGCTCATCATTCCGTTGCCTGACACAAGGTACTTACTTCTTCTTCTGTTTTGTTGATGTCGGCGCCACACTAAGAGAGGCATGCACATCACTGGGTGGAACAGGAATACTGACAGAGTTCACACTAGAAGCTGGCGAGTCGAATGGCATTCCTAGAGAACTACTGGCTGGCAGACCATTCAAGCCACCTGGTGTGGATGACAAAGTGCCCAGTGAACTTCCTGTTGATAACAAAGTCAAGTAAAAGCGGATGAAACAGCAATCAGTTTACCACAGCACCAGTTATTATAGCCTAAGACAGTGTCTACACCACGCAGGAGAAATTTGAAAACACAGTTTTATTTCTGTGGCTTGGCGTAGTACTTTTCACACTAATCCGTCACGGAAACAGAGCTTTTCGAAAACGCTCTTCAAACGGAGGAATTTGAGGCATTTTTTGCTTTTCGTTTTCGTGTGGATGGAAAACATTTTGAAAACGGACCTTTTCGAAAACGGTGGTGCCGCGATAATAATGTTATTTCCCTTACCGAGGTTTCCTCAAACACATACCGGTATCCAAAATGACCGGTGATCGTTGCGTTTTTAAATTCCTCCAGCGTAGTGTGGACGGAAAACGTTTGATGCGTTTTCAGAGTGAAACCTCCGTTTTCAAATTCCTCCGGCATAGCGTGGACAGGGCATGAGTAGGACTGGAAGATGCATTGGTCTTGTTTAAATGCAGTTAGGACATTGGACACCGAAAGCAACAGTCTTTGCGTGAGCCCTCTGGAATCAGTGCTGTGTTCATGGGCAAGACACTTCAAGCTTACAGTGCCTTTCAACCCTGGTGTTCATATGGGTGTAGACAAATTTAAGGCTCGGGGGAAGGGAGGAGACACTGCAATGGACTAGCATACCATACAGGGAGTTTTCTACTCCCCCTGGACGGGACACCTGATAAAGTCACCTGAGTAATTTTACACTCTGTCCATTCACTGCGAAAATAATCAAAAGCTGATAAAACACAAGAACAGGAAAATATTCTGACAAACCTAGCCCTACAGCATCCCTTTCCATGTGCACTAATCTTCAGAATTGCGTAACCACTTATCAGTGGCTACATTTAAGCAAAGAGCACTTTTTCCGTGTTTACATAGCCTCCTCCAAACACAAGGAGGGCTGGGAGAATTTGAGACAGTTATGCAAACCCAAGACATAGTCGAAGGTTTGGGTAACTTTCGAGAATTCTCCTACTGTAGCCCCCCGAGTGTTTAGATGAGGCTATGTAAACACGGAGAAAGTGCTCAATTGCTTTTAGAAAATAGTTCTCAAAAACACAGGGGAATCTAACACGTCACAACCGTGTTTACATAGTCTCATCTAAACAAACCTTTTGACCAATGACAGCGTGCGTTGTATCTCAATTATGTTATAAAAATCAATATTGTTCATTAGAACATGTAAGGCCCAGTTCATATGTTTTGCATCTGCTAGGCTGAACTAAATTCAGGAATAAAGTTCGACAATGGCATGGCAAAAGAATAGCGCCCGAATCAAACTTGTGAATTAAGTTCGACAAGCTCTGCTGTGCTACGCGACTCTGACACGGCAGCGATTCAAACATTGTGTCTCTGCTGCACAGAAATAAAAAAAAAACAAAAAAAACAAAAACAAAAACAAAAAAAAAACGTAAATTATATTTAATGTATTTTGGCAGGATTGCATTCCCACGGGGAGTTAAGTGGTGGATTGTTACATGGCTTCAGTAAATCTTGGTTGAATTAAATATGACTCTGGCACTATGTCTGAATCAGAGTTGTGTTTCTGCCATGCCACAGACAAACCTAATAATTGCAATTATTGCAATTAAGTTTGGCACGGTGGAAGTGCGATGTCTGAACTGGCCTTAAGCCTTTAATGTCCCTCGCATGGAGAATGAATACTTTTACTGACAAAGGAAAGCTGTGAGTCGTTTTACTCTAGCTACGTACTGAGAATAAACACCAAATGAATAATTTTAACACTGCCAAAATTGAAGTAACGATTCTACGATTCCTTCAGTTCCATGGAAACTCACCTAAAGCTGCAGCGTAAGGAGGCTTCAAGGCTCCACTTCCTCTCCTCCCAGACTGCATCTGCAGTGTTGTTGTTACTGCTTGATGTGCAGCGACTGCCACAGCTGCTGAACCAGGTCCAACTGAACCTGGGAATGATACAAATCAATAACAAAACACATTGAATATTGACAGCTATTTCTAATATCAAGAGTTTCTCTGTGACTGGCCTGCCTCCTGTTGGTCAGGTAGGTTAGGACATGGACAAAACAGGTAGGTACAGTAAGTACAGTCATAAGATTATGTCATACACTAGACCATGAGGGCTGCAATGACAGAATGCCGGCCAAAGGTCTAGACAATACAGACCAAGCACAGTGAGATCATTACAAGAGAACTTGAAAGAACAACAAGAAAACTGAGCAGGATCTTTCAGGGCAATGCCCAGTCCAATAGTTACTGTAGCTAATTGTCAGAAAATACATGTACTTGAATGACAAAGGTTAATCCTAGCCATGGGCCCAGCTCTGAAGGAATTTACATTTAAATGAATAAAATGTAGTCATGAAGTAAAGATAAATTATGTACACTAGCCTGAAGTGCAGGCGTTATTTTAGAGCAAAAGGCTTGATAGACCAGGTTTTTGATGCCGCCACCTTGGAACGCAATTGGATGTTCTGAGACTGGCAAAGGGTTGAGCCAGAGTGCATGGTGGGGGCAGGGGGCAATTGAAACATATTTTTTCATTCCCCTCCCCTATTTTTTCCACCTCATATCTATGTGATATGAAATGTTCATTTGAGTGCGAATAATACACTGACAGGCTACCACCCCCCCCCCCACCCCTCTCCTACAATTTACAAAGGATCAATCATCCATGTACAATGTACAGGTAATATGAAAACTAATTAAAAGTTGTTTTGACTTACTTAATGTGTATGATCTTGGAACAGAAGAAGGAGACTGAGGTGCAACTGATTTTGGTGAGGGGGACATCTGATTGTAGACTCCAAGGGAACCATACGAATAGTCGTGCATCCCAGGAATGGACAAGTGGTCACCGTTCACAAGATCACCTGACAAACTGTCAGGAGTTTTTCTTTCTGCAATTGAGAAGAAAATAGGGGAAGTCTGCATGATACCCGAGGACCACAAAATTAATACGTTTATGAACAGCAATTTTCTCATTAAGTTTTTAAGTGTACTGCAGGCAGTATTTATGTACCAGATTAATCTGTTCACTTTTACAGTCTTTGTCACCGGTAGGTTACAATGTACATGTACATGTGTGGGCTACATAACTGAACTATTAAATGAACTACATGTACTATTACATGCACATGACATTCAATTTTATTAATGGTGCATGTTAGCATCTAATGGTGAGTTTAGTCTTGCAGATATCAATGTGCATGACTACGTCAAAATTCAGCTTTTATTTCTTTCTTCTCCCTTGTAATTTTCATGTACATTTTATTGCTTGAATCCTGTTGTACAGTTTGTGAAAATCTTATTAACAAACAAGTTCATCAGTCTAAACTAAGTAAGTGCGAGGTGAGCTTCAAAGCCTTGTGGTCTGTTTTTCAGTTGTAATGAAAGTGCCATGTGCACTGTAAGTTGTAAATTCGCAAGTAAAGCAAATTCGAGTCAACTGCACAGCACCAGATTCATGTAGTTAGATGAAAAGGCTGATGTAACACAGTTTCTTTAGAAAGTAAAGACATGTACGATACACACAGTGGTTATTATGAGGTTGAATCACGTATCCTGCATGTATGTGTTCACCCACAGTTCATGTAGTTACAAGTACGGTGTAACTTACTGTGTCCAGCCAGTTGCAATGACCCGTGTATGTGATTATTTCTTGCTGGTGAGGGTGGATTAAGTGGTTCATCTAGTCTTAATGACCCTGAAAATGGTAAAACAGATAATTATCAAAACAGAGATCATCACACTATTTCCATAATTTACACTTCTCCCAATCAATAGTACGAAAGATCAAGTATAAAGTGTACATAGTATAATTATATGTTATTGCACTCATTACTTTGTCCCCCATCAAAGGGTGCAACCTAGCAACCAAATGCTCATTTAACAGCCAGGAAACCTACATGTACAGTACATGTACATGCATCAGATAATAGTTTATCTACTTACTTTGTTCTAGAATTTCTGTTATACCAGCATTATCAGCTTCGAGTTCCATTTTAAACTTTGCCAGTTCTTGATCTAGTTTTCGTAAATGTCGGTCCACCTTTAGAAAGACAAGATTATGGTACCTTATACAAGTCATACATAATTATACATGTACATTGTACAAGGAAGTTGTCTGCTTATATTTGAAGAAGTTCAATTTGAAAAAGTTTCGCTCGCTTGAGAAAAACAGTTGCTCTCCTCCTGAAAACACTAAATGAAACCCCTGATCAAGTTGAAAAGAAAACTTACTATAACAATAATTTCCAATCTACCTGGGCCCACTTATTGTAAAAACTTAGGTACTAAAAAACTGTTAATACTTCTATGACCCTGCGAGCTGCATTTCAAACTTTTTTGCGCTGGAGACTATAGTTTTTTGTCTGTGTTTTTGTTTTATTTAATATTCATTTGTTAACTTTGAATATCTGTAAGTACATGTATAATGTTAATATTGTAAGTAACTGCTAGTGAAGTAATCAATTTTAGTATTGTACATAATGTTAATTCATGTTTATATTTGTAAATTATGTCTTTCAAATAAATAAAGAAAGGAAGAAAGAAAGTTGGAAATTGTAAGTAACTACTAGCAAAGTAATCAATTTTAGTATTGTACGTAATGTTAATTCATTTTATATTTGTAAATTATATGTCTTTCAAATAAATAAAGAAAGAAAGAAAGAAAGAAAGAAAGAAAGAAAGAA